CGTTTCTCCATGATATTCTTTCTTGTTTTCCGATTTCTTCGTTTATTTTCTTTCTTTTTCTCTCTCTCTCTCTCTTTTTTTCTCTTTCTCTATCTCTCTCTCTCTCTCTTTTCTGTCTCTCTTATTTGTTTTTTTTTTTCGATCATTCAATCCTCCCTTTCCCAAATTTGATGATCCCGATTTCTGACCTTGGTTGACTCGTGCGACGGAGACCGATCAGCCAATATAGGCTATAGCCAATTCTTACAAATTTCTCTACATACTCTTTTGTATCTGACTCGTTGTTATATTTGCTTACCGCAGGCGACGGCTGTTTCTACATCGGGATGGGAGGTAAAACCGCGAAACCCAAGATTCCCTCCTATGAGCCCTACCAGTGCTGTCCCGCCAAGCCTGCCCGCGGCACCAAGGTCGCCAGGGTCACCAAAGTACCGATTTCCAAGGACAAGGGCAAATCCCACGGTGGCGGCAAAACGGATAAGCCACAGCTGCCGGCTCTCAAGCCAATAAACAAGCTCACGGCCAAGGATAGCAAAAAGTCAGCGACGATATCGAAACCCGACGCGAAGGAATCCAAGTCTAAGGCTAAGAGGGGATTTTTCGGAACCGGTAAATATTTCTGAACTGAAAGCTCCCGAGTTTAAATGGCTGCCCACATTCGCTTTAGTCACGTGACATTTGACGTGTATATATTCCACCTCAAACAAAATCGCCGCGATCTTCTTTTCTTTTTCTTCATCTTTGAAATAAAAAAATTAACAAAAGCAACACTTACATCGCTTGCGGTGGGCAGCGATTTAACGAGCGCCGCAAACGACAGCGGGGATAAACGTAAATAGATGTTTAATTGAATAAAGACCGCGAATAAGGGAAAGAAAAAGAGAAAATCGGAAACGCACAAGTGAGCTCGAAGAAAGATTCCAAGCTCGAGCCACCCGCGCGCGCGCGCGCGCGCAGAAAGGTTCGCTGCAGCGAAGATGAGACACGGTCGCCATCTTGACTCCCCGTCTTCTTCGTATCTTCGAACGCAGGTACCCCGCGGGTCTCGCGCGATCCATGAAGAGCGTCAACGACGCTGCCCGAGCAAGACGATCGAAGATGACACGTGACTTCCACGCGGCTGGCGCACCGGCGGGCGGACCCCTGGACCCTCGAGTCGTCGGGATAAAGAAGCACCGATCTCGTTCGATCGATTCGCGACGCTAAACTTTAAACGTGACGAGTCAGTTAGTGTAATTTCTTGCGACTCGACGGAGCCGAGGCTCCCGTTCACTATTTTTTTTTCTAGACATTTTTTTCGCAATAAAATTATTAAATTTTCACGAAAGGTAAAAATTTTTCGTCTTCTTCAAAAACAAATTACGAAAGTGAATCAGCCTAGCTCCGTCCTCGCAAGTCAACGTATTTATTTCCTCATAACCGAGCTTTATGAATTTTTGATCGATAAAAAAAAGGCGGCAATCAATAAGTGAAATTAAAAAAAAAAAAAAAAAAACATCGTCGTCGAAGAGGATGAATGTAAAAGCGCGATAAGGAAAAATCGTGTAAAATCGCACGATAAAAAAACCTTTCCGTTCTCTCACTGAGAGCTGAGTCGTGATTGTGGGCTGTGTTGCAGTTATGGCTGGAATACCTTACATCATGAAGGTCTAAACGACACGAAGGCCGATACACGCACGTCAGCGTCTGGGAGGCCGAACGACGATCAGGAACTCGAAGAGAGAGAGAGAGAGAGAGAGAAATTATTCGCACAGGACGATGATTGGAATCGGCGACGGAAAAAACGAAGAAGAAGACAAAAGCTCGCGCGGTGATAAATCCGCGCTGAAGCAGCTACACACACACGAGAAATACTCGGACAGAACAGAAACTTCGTCGCTAGGGAACGAATGACGTTTCCCCGAAGAAGCGAAATGAAAAAAAAACTCACCCAACATCGTCCCCGTCATCGTCGTTATTTGTCGCCCACGTATCATTATGTTCGTCCTCATGATCGTCATTGTCGCGTCATCGTTGTCCAGTGTTATCCACCATCATCATCATCATCATCATCGTCACAATATATCAAAATGTTTTCGTTGTCGACGCAACCGACGTCATCTTTCTTCTCGAATGTGTTCGTCACGCGCAGAAGAGGATAAGAGACGTTTGTGTGCGAGCGATTTAACAAATTTCTGTACATGCGCGTGAGAAACTCAATCAATGTCGGAAACAGAAATTAGATAAAGAGTCTAGAGTAATTAATTTGAATAATAATTAATTTGACTTTGAGAATTAAGAATATTCGAGAGAGAGAACAACACAATCTCTGTCGATCAACAACGCGATGGAACGGGAATTATCGTCTCGCGCACGCGCGCGCGCGTGCGCGTATGCATTTCTTATAAAAAAAAAAAAAAAAAAAAAAAAAAAAAAAACTAATGAGACGAAAGAGCGAAAAAAAAAAAAAAAAAAAAAAAAAAAAAAAAAGAGAGAAAAACAAATCTCGAGCCTTAACCACCTCTGGCCGCGTCTTTGTCTAACGCTGAGTATTTTTTATTCGGTTTGGTTTTACTTTTTTTGGTTTTAACCTGTTTATTATATATATATATAGTATATATATATATATATATATATACATATATATATAAAACGTCACTTTTCACGACGAGCGATACCGCGTCTTCGTTGCATTTCGTCGCTAACATTCGCACGGTAATTCGGGGTAGGACTTTGATAGATTTATAGCGAAGAGAGAGAAGGGAGAGAGAGTGTGTGTGCGTTTCGAAAGGTCGACATCCGAAACTCTGTGTGTCCATAGTGTTCTACCTAGATTTTGCGGTACGTGCATTCGACGATTGATTTAACGTGAGAGATGATTTATAAATCATGTTATGCGTAAACTAAACTCCCTCTCGCTCTAGGGTCTCTGTACGATGATTTTTTTTTGTTCGTTCTAATAAAAAGCCTCTCTCGATCTAAATAACCCTTTTCTTCGTTATCTGTTATCTTTAAGACAAAGAGATCTCAAATAAATAAAAGAGAGGTTTGGAGTTTTAGCGCGAAGCTACGAACGAACATCTTTTTTGCCTGTATTAAGAGATTTCCTACTATAGCACTTCTCAGATTTCTTGTATACGTTTGTACATATCGTCTTCTGTGTTCTAAAAAAAAACACACACACAAAGACGCGGATTGTAAAAAACCGAAAATTTTGGTCGATTTTTACGAAATAGTTTAAACAAAAGCGAAATTAGAATTATCGCGATCTCATTGTTTTTATATGACAAAAAAAAACACACGCGTTGTATATTTATTTAGAGGCTTTTTATTTTTAATTTCAACACACATCTGACTAGACGAGATTTACGTTAATTTTTTTGTTGCATAATATCCATCCGTAATAATCGCATACGTAATTGCTAGCTTAACAGAAAAAAACGTGAGAAACGAAAAAGAATAGACTTTTTAGAGCGATTTAACGATCCATCAAATCGCGCGAAGAAAAACTGTGTACGATAGGGGCGCTTATTTATTAATTAATTTATTTTATCTATATTTATTTATTATTTACTTGTTATACAGCGAAGTACCTCCGTAACTTCCGTGTTCGCTGTTTCTGTGTCGCTCAATATATGTCCGATAATCTGCGCAAGATACACACACGTTTTCAATCATCACGTTTTCGAAATTGTCAAATCGCAGGCGAGATATACGCGCGTATGTCTAAATATTGTTTCGACGTAACAGAGCGTAAAATCAATTTTGTTTTACCACACACAAATGTAAATTTTTTTTGCGAATCGACGCGAATTTAATTAATATGTCACACCGTATCTGTGATCACGATTATCAGACGTCACACGAATTATTTTAACAAGCTCGCGAACGTTTGCGTGCGAGCTGACTCTTGTTACTTGCAGCATGTACGATATATGGAAAAAAAAAAAAAAAAACGATATTATAAGATAACAATAAATATACATTTCCTAATATTCTTTGTATTTGCTTCGCCCACCACCGCTGCGTACAACCTGCGTCTTATTTTTTTTTTTTCTTATAAAAATACAGCATAAAATCTTGTGTTTATTTATTTTCACGTATTTTTCAGATAAATTTTTTTTTTAAACATTTGCTTCGAAATTATTTAATATCCGAGTATATTTTCTGCACAAAACTCCGCATCTAACTCGCAATTAATAATCTTTGTGACAGATTTAACGTGTCTTTACACACAGTCGTTTTTTTAATTTTTCACAATGTTAAGAAAAGAGATATATATTGATAAATAATTGTAAAAAGTGATATAGAAAACAGAACAGCCATTCCAGAACAACGTCAGTTTTACAATTAAGATTATAATTGTGCCGAGAGATTAGATATTAGATTTTTAAAAAATAACACGTTAATATATTCCAATAAACATCGATAACAAATATAAAAAAATTTTCTCAAGTTACGTTAGCTTGTGTGTGACAGAAATTTCTTTGCCACACTGCAATGATTGATCTATCAAATTATTTCACAAATTATCGATCGAAGAATCACCGGGCTATAATGCGCAACGTTTAAGGTAATCTCCTCGACGAGGCTGAAGTACTCGACTGGATGGTGAAGCAGAAAACCGACGAGAGCATCGAAGAGATCGATCGTGACACTCTCTTCAAATACATCGAGACAAAAGAGTTTCTCGCAGTCATGTTCTGTAAGCAGCAATTTCCAATCGAGATCTTTTTTCATTTGTTTCGTTATTAAAAAAGATTTTTTTTTTTTATTGCTAAAAGACACCGTCAATCGGCGTTGCGTTCAGTATCTGTCGCGGAAAAATATTTCAAACGTTTTCGAAATCGCAGCCTAGATATACGTACACCGAAAAAATTATATTCTCGTAAGTAGAAGATTTTATACTTAAAAAATTTTCTTAAAGATTTTAGATGATATTCTTCCGAAATTAAGAATATATTCTTTATTTAAGAATATAGTCTTTTTCGATAGTGAGATATATATGTTTTTCTATAGAG